TAGATTGAATAAATATTAGTTTTATTAAATTATAAAATTATTTTATAAATAATAATTTAATCGTAATTATTTATTAAGAATAATTAATAATATAATCTCGAATTATTAGTATTTATCATTATAATAATAATTTTAATAATAAAGAAATACTTAATTTATTCTTCTTAATATCTTTACTCTTATTATTATATTAATATAGATTAATCTCTAATGATTTAAATATAATATTTGAGAATTATAAAAGTCTATCTTAATTATAAATAGCTGATTCAATTAAATCTTTTACTTTAAACATTTTAGAAATAATTAATAATATTTTCAATTCTTTTATGATTCTTTTAAGTATACTTAATAATTGAAACTTAAAACCTTCTTTTTAAAGTATTTATAACCTTAGAATTGAATTATTATTATTGAGATTACTTAGGGGGGGGAGTCGTCAACTCGAATCATTATATGTAGCACTGTATAGCCTATATAAATTGAATAATATAAATTGAGATGATCTAGAATAAGGTATGATTCTTTCTATTATATATATAATGGGAAGAATCATGTGATTCGCTTAAGCATGTGATCATACGTTCCGACAATTGTCAACAAACTAAAATAGAATACTAATTAATCAATATATTAAAAGATTCAATAGGAAAAAGGGAATTGAAATATATAAATACTTTTAAAGAGTTAGATATTAATGATAATAAAGGTAATATCAAATTATCTACATTATAAAATATAGAATCAATATTACTTAAAATATTAGAGGTATAAATAGAAGATATAATAGAATAAAATTCAAATTTAAATTAAATATAAAAAAAGATATAAAATCATTATAATTTCAATACCTTTTTAAGCTTTAATAATATTAAATCCATTATAGAAATATATCAATATTTATTAAGAATATTGAAATACTTCAGAATTAATAAAAAAATCAAAATTATTGAAAATTTTAATCGAATCTAAATAAATACTATAAAAAAGTGTTTTGAGAATATTTTAACATTAATGAAATACAACAAGAATATCAAAATTAAATAATCTAGTAAATCCTATATTAATAAAAACTCTATATTTATGAATATTACTAATGGTATTTAATATTACTGAAATATTCAATATTATTAGTGATATTCAATTCAATAATAATTATTGGAATATATTTCAAGAATTCAATACGCATCACTAAAGTGGGGCGTATTCAAAATACGGAAAATACTAATTACAACACTGTTCAAGAATATAAATGGAGATCGAATTCGTACAGAATTTTTGAAGCTATTTCGTTAAATAGCTATTTGTATCGTAATAGGCTCTTTAACTTTATAACCTTTTTCCTTTGCCCTTTCGATTCGAATAGATTAGATCTACTGGAAATAGTAAGTAGGCCTTTTTTTTTCTGACTTAATAGTTATACGAAGGAGGACATTTTGTACTATAAGGTGAAGGAGAAGGGCCTAATAAAAGATTTCTAATGAAAAAGGAGCGGCAAAGTGGTTCTTTTCGTTCGAAAAGGAAGGGATTTCGAATTCGAAAAGTATGCTGAGCTTTAAGTAGGATGTAGTAAATACAAATTGAACTATCGATTTATCAAATTTTATAAATATAATAGTTTAGTTTATAAATCAATTAATTCATTCAATTCTAACGAAATCAATTATAGATAAAAATCTCTTTTTAATATATTAATCGAAAAAGATAATATAAAAAATATAGTATTCTAATCCTTTATATAAATTATATATAAACATAATTTAATATAATCTCATTCATCTTCTTGAAGAATATCTTATTAAATAGTCTAAACCATTCTCTTTATTTTTTATATAAATATCTTTATATAAAACTTTAGAAAGTAATTTAATTTGTAAATACCTTTAATAAGAAGGTAAACATTAATTAGTATTAAAATTACTTAGAGGAAGAAGTTATTAACTTGAATTATAATATACAATACTATATAGCCTATATAAAATGAATAACATAAATTGAAATAATTTAGAATAAAGTATAATTCTTCTCATTATATATATAATAGGAAGAATCATATGATTCGCTTAAGTACATAATCATACGTTCCGATAATGAATATCTCAGAAGATTTTATTCTATAACATAGTTTATTAGTGAGTAGATTATATCAATGAATGAGTCACTTTCACCTCAATTTACATTTTCAAAATTATATTATTCAATAATAATCAAATCAATTGATTGAAATTATAAAGATTCTAATAATTTAGAATCTATTATATTATTTTAACAGATTCTTACATTATAACCTGTCTTTCCGTATTTATTACAATATTAAATAGAAAATGCTTTTTTATTAGATTTATTCTCTTTTTAATACTTATTATATTAAATTTAAATATTAACTTCTTATTGAAATAATATATTAAGAGTTTTTTATTTAGTAAATACTTTTCTTTAATATAATTAAGTTTTTTTTGTATATCGATATTTACTTAATACTTCATTTATGTTACGGGAGCTGCCTCTAGGGTTACGTGGAAGTGGCTAGAGATCTTTCAAAATAGTTTAAACTAAACTTTAAGTAGGAATTTAATAAGGTTGATAATTAATTATAATTCTTATAACGTGGTTTATCATCATGCGGCCCATATCATCATGCGGCCCATATCATCATGCGGCCCACTTTCACCTCAATTTGCACCCTTTTATTTCAACACGCGTTTTATCAACAACCCACGATGCATTCGAATAATGAAGAAGCCCGTATACTCCTAGCTATCGATGCTATTCATAAAGACAAAAAACTAAGTGTTAGAAAGGTTGCTACGATGTATAATATACCACGTACAACACTACGGCGTAGAATAGACGGTTTTACCCCTCGTACAGAATATCGACATAAAACCCATAAACTTACAGAATTAGAAGAAGAGATCATTATTCAATATATTCTTGATATGGATTCGAGAGGTTTTCCACCTAAACTTAAAGGGGTGGAAGATATGGCGAATCATATTCTTGAATCGAGAGGTGGAAAAGCGGTTGGAAAGCTCTGGGTGCATCGATTCGTAAAGCGTCATAAAGAATTAAAGACGCGTTTTAGTCGTGTTTATGACTTTCAAAGAGCTTTGTGCGAGGATCCTGAGTTTATTCGAAAGTGGTTTCGTCTTATATCGAATATGCGAGCGAAATTTGGTATACAAGATTGCGATATGTGGAATTTCGACGAAACAGGCTTTATGATGGGAGTTATAAATGCTGGTATGGTAGTTACTAGTGCTGAGAGGAGTGGTAGGAGTAAAGCAGTACAACCAGGCAATAGGGAATGGGCGACAGCGATCATATGCGGTAGTAGTGTAGGGGAAATCATACCTCCATTCCTGGTGGTTCAAGGACAGGTGCATCTTTCCAATTGGTATACGGAAACCGATCTTCCTGCAGATTGGGCTATTAAACCTACTAGCAATGGGTGGACGAACAATGAGACAGGATTGGAATGGTTAAAACACTTCGATAAACATACAAAGGATTGCAGAGTAGGCAAATACCGAATGTTGGTGCTAGACGGACACGAAAGCCACGAATCCATACCTTTTCAATCATATTGCAAGGAGAATGATATTATATGCGTATGCCTACCACCGCATTCAAGTCATTTAACTCAACCACTTGATGTCGGATGTTTTAATAGGTTAAAACAAGAATATGGTACTCAAATTGAGGGGTTTATAAGGGCACATATCAATCATATCTCAAAGGTCGAATTCTTTATAGCTTTCAAAGCTGCATATCAACGATCGATCACGAATCAGAATATGAAATCTGGATTCCGAGGAACAGGATTAGTCCCCTTTGATCCTGAAATAGTACTCTCAAAATTAGATATTCGAATACATACACCTAGTCCTCCTCCTTTTGTCAATTTAGACCTCTGGACCTCTCAAACTCCTCACAATCCTACAGAAGCTCTTTCTCAATCAACATTAGTTAAATCTCGAATCAATCGTCATCAATCAAGCTCTCCTACACCTATATTTGAGACTGTACTAGCTCTAGCTAAAGGCACAGAGAGATTAGCTCATGAGAATACACTTTTAAGTGCAGAGATCCGTACACTTCGGGCAGCAAATGAGGCATTAAGCAAGCGTCGACGTGCGAAAAAAACCCAATTGCGTCAAGGAGGAGTACTTACTGGACAAGAGGCTCTTGATATATTATCTCAGCAAGAGGTTGATGTTCAGATTCAACGCGACGAGCGTCAAAAAGGGAGGAATCCTAATGGGGAAGTATCTTCTAATAGATGCTGTAGTAAGTGTGGAAAACCAGGTCATAATTCAAGAACTTGTCAAAACGATATAATAGATCCTAGATTATTAGATTCTTAATAGTTTTAATCAATTGAATCAATTGTTGTTGAGTAATATGGATTTAAAAATACAAATTGAGGTGAAAGTGGGCCGCATGATGATAAACCACGTTAACTATAGTAATAAAACTAATAATTGTTTTTAAGTATAAAGCTCTACATTGTAATAAAACCTATTCCCTTATATAAACCTTCTTGTTTAATATGATCAATACAGCTCAGTACTGATTTATTTATACTTTTATAGCTTAGTGTCTATCCCGCTGAGGCAGACTGAGCCAATTATGTGACTTAGTGCCCAGTCCCGTGCCTATATTACATTGTTCGTAACACTATCCATCAAGATCCAACTGCCACCTCACCAGATGTCCTATATCCATTCCTTCCGAATACAGAACCACCTACCACACCGATCCCCGCATCACGATCGGAATGCTGCTTTACGTTGACATGTGACCCGAAGAGGCAGACGGTCACAATTTCGATGCTGACTCTATTTGAGCGTGAAGGTGGTATACAAAGTTGGGTATTGAAGTATATCGGTCCAGAGTGTATTCAATTATTTGAGCCATATAGGTGCCTAACTATATATATAATCTACAGGGCATGCCTCTAACACTTCCAGATATGCATCCATGTTATCCATACGATTCTATCTATCGCTCCTCACTACTTCAAAGCTTGTTGGTTCTAATTGAGCAGTAAAATTGGTGGTGTTCAAGCCAGAGCTTGACCTTCTCCGGAATAGTGTGTTCTGCTGAGCATAGCGATTCCCATAAGAGAAGTCACCATAAGCTAACACCCGAAGGCGAGGAAATCCATGTGGGCCAAAAGCCCACACAGCAAAGTCGTATAAAGATCTGTTCTCAGATGAAGCTCCCATATACCCCATCTGTCTTTTGCACTCATCAATTCCCGTTCTGCGAATATGCAAAAGTGTGAGGGCATCTTTATCAAGCGCGCCAAGACGAGCATCCTGAATATGTCAATTATACTTCTGTATAAGGAAGGGAGGGGGCTTACCAAGTCCGATAACGAGCAACATATATCAAAATAGCGAAGCCCCAGACTGGGATTACTACTCAGAACACTACCTTGCGGTATCCTATCCCAAGGAAGGATTAACCTGTCGGTTGTTCGTTTAGTATTATGGGGCCTTTCATGGTAGACAAGTTGTTTCAGAGTCGATTGGTGAAGAAGAATCGTATTTCATAATTCTCCACTGATTTCATTGTCATATATGAGCAGATTGAAAACTTCAAGCCATTTAAATGATGCCAAGAACCTGATTAAGGGATCGGAAAGACCTCTAAGATAGCCCTCCTCGATGACTAGTTCCAGCGAAGCCAGTCGCATAGGTTGGCTTGCCTGTAAAACGGCTTCGAGCAAGTTTCGTATGTGCGGGCATTTGTTTAGCTTTGATGAACGAAGTTTGCTAAAATTGAAGGCCGATGCAATCTCAGAGGCTGCAATATGGTATGAAACCCCGGAAGAGAGACAAGGTCTTCAATGATGGGAATATTATTTCCAGACACTTGGTACCCAACTGTAGTACCTCATAGGCCTGAAAGTGCTGAGATTTATCGTGGTTCCAACTTTTATAGTGGTAGTCAAACTCAGCGGACATCCATTTGGCCAAGTCTAGCTCCAGAGTTTTGAGGTGCTTCGAGTTTGCCTGAAGCGCACCTTGTAGAGCCGAAAAGTCACTTCTCGAATGTATCCCTCGCCATGAAATCGATTGAAGAGACGTAAAACCGATAGGTTTAGGAATTGTTCGGTTTGTCTGTTTGATTCCATTGTTCAGATGGCACCATGTGTCTGTGACGAGTGACAGAGATTCAATCTGGTTTTGCTTTCTCAACAATTGCCCGGAAAGGCCGAGTAACTCTGAGGGTACACATGTCCCTAACTGCCAACTGTAGCCAATGTCAGAAAAATCAGTGAGTAAAGGAAGGTACATACGAGAAGCTACTCAGATGGTTATCTCGCAAGCAGTGGAGGAGGGCTAGAACTCCAGAACGGAGGTCGCTTAGAAAAACATCCTGGCTTGGCTTACTATACTCCCCTTTTTCACATTCCTGGTGGTCCATCTCCTCATATTCTTCCTCGTACGCTTCTTGGAAAGTTTCCATATACTTGCTATCTCCCTCATACAGGTGAGGGCAGCGGTATTTAAGGTTTTGGTGGACTGGAGCGGATATACAAACATTCTTTACATAGTTGACATATTCTGGATGCTTATCTAAAGTTCGCAGAAGTGAATCAAGACTTAGATCTACGAGGTTCCACTCGTCCTTTGCTCTAATCTCAATGGTTCTGTATAAAGATCGGAGAGCGGTATTCTGGAAGTGTTTCGAGACCCTGCGTATACTTGCTACATCGGATTGACTAGGAACCTACCAAAGATTAGACATCTGGCTAATAAACGAGTGAGATCTTACCTGACAAATAATGAGTTCCCATACCTCAGTAGGCATGCTTTTCCAGGCCATTTTCATGTGACGTTTCTTGAGGGAGACGATAGTAGCGGGTATAGTTTGGGAGTATCTGTAAGGGTTTTATTTATCAAAGTGCAAATATAACATGGTGGAACTATTGCATTCCAGGTGATGGTTAGATTACTCGATGTTGATGAACGTTTTGTGTGAAATGGGTACATCTCTCTGTTTCGGGGCGAGGGGTCAATTTGTTGATGGTCTCACCACCTGCTGAAAAAAATCGAAGAACGAGTTGGTAATTTATAAGCTTGCTTGAGATGCATCCTCGTTACGGAAATGTTCATGATGCATAGTTCGCTGAACCAGACTTTTCTTGATGAGCTCACCAACCTACTTTAGTGCCTCGCCTAAGCAATCACCCCACATTACACCTAATTTAATAACGTGTTTCCAAAACCTTAAATTTTAATGCTCATATAATTTCTGCTCAAATATACAATCTCAATTTTTAATATATATTGTTTTATTTATAGTTCTATTATTAATATTTCAATTTAATGAATTATTAGTTCAAAATAATTATAAAGACTAAAGAATCTAAATGTTTTATTGAATAGAAGAATTCACTTCTTCCTTTTTTTCAAAGATTTATTCGAGCTTTTAAATTAAGTAAAAAAATCTTGAACAAAAAATAAACACTCCTTTCTAAATCAATTATTATTATTCCTTTGCCTAAAAAGCTTAAAAACTCTTTTCTAAAGATTATACAATCTTATAAGAATGCCTTAAAAAGTGAAAAAGCTTTTAACACCTTTACTACTAACTCTACTCCTTTTATAATCCTTCTTTCTAATATTATTAAAGTTGATACCTTTTTGCTTAATATATTAAGATTCTAAATATAATCTTCTTTATATAAGTTTACCTTTAATTCTAAAATAGAGAATGTAAAATGTTATATATATTATCAATTGTTTTTTAAGTAATATATTAATAAAAGAATAATTCTCATAATTTACAATTTTTCTAATATAATTTTTTTTAATAAACTTTTAAGTATTATATAAAAAGAAGTAAATAAATAAATAAGTATTAAATATATATTAATAAAAAAATAAGACAATTCTAAAAATAATTTTTTATCAATTTAATAAATAAAAATGAAAACAAATTCAATAATATTTCTAATTAAAAGGAATAAAAGAATATTCTTTATAATCTTTATGTATAAGAGCACTTTAATAAAAAGTATTAAAATATTATTAAAGTGTAGGTTTATTATATATACTCTGAAAAGTATATATTTATACCTTCTATTGAAAAGAGTTTAGATTTTAAAAAGAAGCATGTATAATATATAAAACTAAATTTAAATTTCGAAAATGAAGATAAAGATAGAAATAATAATAATAATAATAATAATAATAATAATAATAATAATAATAATAATAATAATAATAATAATAATAATAATAATAATAATAATAATAATAATAATAATAATAATAATAATAATAAATTAAAAACAAAATCAAAACGAATAGAATATAATATTGTAATAAAAAAATAATTGAAAAGAATAAATATTTAAAGAAAAAGTAATCTTAAGGTTGAGAAGCTTTAAAGAAAAACTTCAGAATATTAAAGGTATTTAAAATATAAGTACTCTAATTATAATCATTATTATTAAATCTTTAATATTAAAAATTATTATATAATATCTATTAATAAACAATTTGAATAAACAAAGCATATTATTAAAAAAATTAATAATATGATTGTTAATCTTTTTTCATATATATGGATTATAAAGTAGGCTATTAAGTGGAATTACTATATGCTTAAAATATATAATAATAATAAGAAGGAAAAAGAAAAGCCTGTTCTTATTTCTATTTCAATATTATAGTCTATTATTAATATTCATCAACCTCCTTCTATATTATTATAATAATTATACCCTCTACCTTAGACTTATTATTAATAAGCATTTTCTCAAATACTATTGTTATATATATAAATACCTTATAATCAATCTACAACTCTACTATTCTCTTAAATAATATTAGTATTTACTTCTTCATTTATATATATATTAGGAACCTACGAGCCCTTAAACCCCTTGTATTAATAGGGCGTAAATTTAAGTTTAAAGAAAATGTTTTAACAACATAATTTTAAATAGTAGTTGGATTGAAAGCTTATAGGCGAAGTTGGTTTACCTTCTTTTAAATTAATAATAATAATAATTCCTGTGATTAATATTACATAATCTAGATCAGTAATATATTATAAATATAAACTTATTGAAACTCAATTCATTTATAATAGAATATTAATAGTATTATAAAAGACTTATATAATTAGAGAAAAAAACACGAAAAAACCAAGGAAAGATTTTCTTGGAAAAACTCATTAATCTTTATTATATTTGAAGCAGGAAATCTTCTAATATCCTCTCCTACAATCACTAAGTTAATATCTATTCGGGTTAGAGAAATATTATTATTAATATTGAGGAAAAAGATTCGATATATCTATATTAATATTATTAATATTAATACTGTTAATAATAAACTTATTATATTAAATATAATTAATAAAAAAGATTAAATTATAGATTCTTATAATAATCCAGGCTTTTTAATACTTAAAGGCCTTATAGAAGGATTTCAATTATAAAGAAAAAGGTTTTTAAGTATAGGAAAATGAAGAGTGAAAACTCTTTAAAAAAACTTTGCTTTTTTCAAGAAATATTTTATAAAAAATAAATTAATATAGTATTTAATATCCTATTAATATACTTATAGCTATTCTATATGAATAAAGAGAAAAGTCAGACCTTTCGAAAAATATTTATAATATACTTGATTCAGGTATACAATATTATTATAAAATACTGATTACAATATTATGTTACGACGACATCCAACATACCGAGTCACCTGATCAGAAAGTCACGGGATTAGAGATTCCCACTGGATCCCACTGCTCCCACCTGGTGGGACACGATGGGATCAATGGGACAACAAGGAACGAAGGTCTATATAAGGGAATGGGTTTCATTACAATGTAGAGCTTCGTGCTCAAGAACAATCATTAGTTTCATTACTATAGTTACGAGAATTGCAACCAGTTACAACCTTATTGAATTCCTACTTGAAGTCTAGTCTAAACCACCTCGAGAGATCTCTAGACACTTCCACGTGACCCTAGAGACAGCTCCCGTAACACTTTGAGCACCATTTCTGCTTCAAGTACCGATTCAATACCAACCGACGATATGGCACCCACCAGTGCATCCGCGAGCAGTCAGGCACAAGCACCCGACACCGACGATGTCGAGATGACCGATGCTCCCAAGGAAATTACCATCAACGAAACACTCAAGATTGCCTTACCAGACAAATACCAAGGAAGTCGACAGGAACTCGACACCTTCCTCTTGCAACTTGAAATCTACTTCAGATTCAACGAAGACAAGTTTACCGAAAAGGAATCCAAGAGTGTATGGGCCGTATCATACCTCAGAGGAGAAGCAGGCAAATGGATTCAGCCATACTTGCGGGACTACTTCGAGAACAGCGAGCGATACCGCATGAAACCTACCAGAGTAATCTTCGAGAGCTTCGAAGGGTTCAAAACAGAAATCCGTAGGATTTTCGGAAACGCCAACGAGTTAGAGATAGCCGAGGAAAAGATCTTTAACATCAAGCAAACAGGATCAGCCCTCAAGTACGCTACGGAGTTCCGAAGATATGCAGGAATGACCAAATGGGATAAGACCGCCATCATGAGCCATTACCGAAAAGGGCTCAAACCAGAAGTACGATTGGAACTAGACCGAGACGGCGAGAGTAATGATTTGAACGACTTAATCAAGGACTCTATTGAAGCCGACGATCGTCTCTACAGATTTAAGCAAAGCCAAAGATCATACAAACCTCAAGAAAATCAAAACCAAGGGCGTTACCGCAAGAACGAGGGTAGACCACGATACAATCCACAGAGATACGGAGACCCTATGGAGTTAGACGCCACGCACCACGCAAACAGGAATGATGATCAGGAAAAGAAACGTAGACGAGAAAACAACTTATGCTTTGAATGTGGAAAAACAGGGCACCGGGCAGCGGATTGCCGAAGTAAGAAGACAGGAGGAAAGAAAGGCAACTTCAAACCCAAGTTCGGCAAAGGCCAACTTAACGCTACCTTTGTATCCCAGGAACATCCAGCTAAGACCGAAGAAACTGAGACCTTCACCAGTGAAGAATTCCGGAAATTATTGGATGAGTTACCACGAAACCAAGAGGGTATGAATGCAGTAGATTTGTGGGAACAGGAGTATTACCGAACCCCATCACCGTCGGTAACGGAAGAATGTATTAAGGAAGAGATACCAGCAGATCACGCGATGATGAGCTGGACTGCTTGCTATGATGAATTCTGCGGAATCCATCGATCAGATAAAGAAGCAACCGGATGGTTCCCCAAGAAAAGAAAGACAAGGAACCAACAATCCAATGAAACAGACAAAAAACAAGTTACCCAGCAATTGAATGCTACAGGACAAGCAGGACAGATATACTGCAAGGTCAAAATAAACGGACAAATACAGCAAGCCATGATAGATTCAGGGGCTACAGGAAACTTTATTGCACCAGAAGCTGCAAAGTACTTGGGAGTTCCACTCCAGAAGAAACAAAAACCCTACCAATTGCAGTTAGTTGACGGACAACTAGCAGGATCTGACGGGAATGTTTCACAGGAGACACGACCAGTACAAATGAACATAACCCAACATTCAGAGGTTATACAGCTTGACGTTGTGCCATTGGGCCAACAACAGATCATCTTAGGGATGCCATGGTTGAAGGCACACAATCCTAAGATAGATTGGTCACAAGAGACAGTGACATTTGATCAGTGCAAGAACGGTCACGACGACACGTTCAAGGCGTCCGCGAGACGTAACACGCGCCAAGGAGAGTTGAACGCGAACAACACCGGCGACGTAGGACACCCAGTCCAGGGTCCTCCATTAAGAGCGAAGG